CCCCAAAACCCCAAAACCCCAAAACCCCAAAACCCCTTAACACTGACTCTATCATTAAATGGAATATGGATAAATAAAAATTATTAGAGTTGTTAATTTGTGATAATTTAAAATTTTATTTTTTTAGTTTATAAATGCAGTTGCCAAGTTAAGATCCCTTGTTCTAAACCAGGGAAGCTCTATTGAGAAGAATATAAGAAGAACTTAGAGATGAGCCATGTGTTTCTAGACAGCACTACTAAGGAAATACTTTCAGTGGATCAGATCACTAGAGTATAGTATCTGCTAGTATACATAATTTAAATGAGAGATTCAATAATAAGGAGCCTAATTTATGGTCTGTTGATAGCAATCTTAACCTACTCGAAGACAGTATTAAATTCAATAATTCATTGAAAGAATTAGACAATATTAAGTATAAAAATGCTGGTTAAGCAAACTTGATAAATGATGTTTCTAATCTTTAACAATCTAAGGACTCAGGAAATGTTATCACAAGCTATAAAGAAAATAATTACAAAAGAAATTCTTTAGAAGATGATAAGTTAAAAGAAAACGATGGTGAAACTGAGTACTTGATGGATCTTAAATTACTGTAAAGCCACTAAGAATTAGAGAAAATGCTGAGCCTGAAAAGAAAAGATCTTATATAATAAAGGAATGGGCATAATGCATTATTTAAAACAGCATAATTTTAACAGAATCACAACTAAGTCCTGGGAGAAGCCACAAATACTCAAGTGATAAGTGAAACTAGCAGCAATAAAATAATTGAGTTTAAGTCACCTTCATAAAAGGATGTTAAAAGAGGCTCATCTTTTAATAGGTACTCTTCAATGAAAGAAAAAGAGAATGATGAATATGATGAGAGTCCTTACCAAGCCTTACCTTAGATGGAGCAGTAACCAAATTAGGACTACAGATCATTTTTGAATTAAGAACTAGAAAGTAGCCATCCTTTATCTGAGTAATCAATGACATAAAGTGAGACTGTTTCTTAACAAAGCAGAAAATTTGTTATCTCCTATAGCAGAGCAAATAAAAAAGATTCAGTCAAAGTGATTTAACAAGAAGACTATACGCATTTGAATGAGACTTAGCCACATTCAGTAAGTTCTAAAAACCAAAATACTTCTTAATAAAAATCTTAGAATGAGGATAGCATGTCTTAGTAAAAAACACTTAACAGATAAAAGGAATCTTATGCTACGGTTTAAAATCTCAATCCGCCATTACAAGTAAAAATGATTTAAGCACCTAAAAAATCAGTTAGTAGATATGATCAATCAAATTAATCACACAGCAGATTGACTTCTAATAACATATCTAAGAATACAAATATCAACGATGATACACCGTTCTTTATCAAGTCTGGATAGACAAGCTATAGAACTTAAGATAATTAGGTTCCATAGCAATAGAGAGCTAGAAATAATAATCGAAAATCCAATATAACTCCTTCAACTACAGCTATACTAAGCAAAAACAACTTATTTCAGCAGGATATTCTCTCTCAATCATCAATTTATGACAAGACAGATGATGATATTAATGGAAGTATCAGTAATATAATTAATCACATGGAAATTATTCCTGATGAAGATACTGTAAAAGCTGAGGAATTAGTCCTTTAATTACATAAATACATAAAGCAAAAGTAGCAGGTTCCTCCAGAGTTGAAATCCTAACTATAAGTCTTCCAAGAGAAACTATAAAGTATGTTGAAATAATCTGAAAATAAAAAGTATGCTAAATAATTGCCAATAAAAGTAAAGGAAGCAACTAATAAACAGGCAAGCTCTATTAAAAAATAAATAAGTTCTAAGGGTAGAAATTAAAGTACTTTAGATGTGCCTGAATTTATAAGTAAGACTCAGAATTTACAAGCCTTGAACGATTTTCTTATTTATTCTGAGGATCTTAAGAAATTTTGCTAGAATATAACTGCCAAAAAGCTGCAGAGCTATTCAGCATAGATCAATCCATAGAAATTAGAAGTTAATATGGGTCTCTCATACCTTCTACTTTTTTCAAACTTTGATAATTAAAGCATTAAGCTCACAGTTGATAAGAAGTAACTGCTAGATCGTAACTGGAATCAAGTTTAAAAATACTTTAGCAATCATGGTAGAGTAATTTAATAACTTAGGCTGATTCAATAGTATCTTGACTAGGGTAGAATTCCAGCCCAATAATTAGATACCATCAGAGCTTAAGTATTCAGCAAAAGTTTAAACGATGATTTGAATATTTAATTCGCAACTTTCTCACCAAGAAGTCAAAAAAAAGTTCAGCTATAAACGAAAGCAGAAAAAGGTATATCTGATGTAGGATTTGATTTGCTACTACTAATGAGAGCTATATTAAAATACTCTGAATTCGTTTAATAGAATACAGAGAGCAATATTGGATAAAAATATAAAAGAAGCAAATCTGTAAACTAAAGAAAAGATGAGTTTCCAGAATCAAAAGTTATGTATTCATCGATATTAAAATCCGAAGAAAGCTAACAGCAAAAAAGAGAAAAGCTTTCCACTATTGTTGAGTAGAACACACATATGGAAAATTCCCTAGAGAGAATTTAAAGATTAGAGAAGCAAAGAAAAGCCTTATTATCTAAAACTCCTAAGCCTATCAAATTTACTGCATAGTTCGACCCTGTAAAACTTGAAATCAATAGCAAGATTTATAATGATAACTTAAACTTCGAAAGATAAGCAGACAAACAAAGAAAAGAAATAGAGCAAACTAGAAGAATGATTGCCTAAATGAAGGGTAAAGAAAAGTAGATTAAGTGGAACTTGCTGAGAAAACAGAAAATTGAATAAAAGATTGTTGAAAAGAGAGATATTTAGGAATACATTGAATACTAGCAAGAACTAAGATTGAAGTTCGTGGAATTTATAGCTGATAGAATAAGAAAAGAAAAGAAATATATAAATGAAATGAAGAAGTAAATTGTGGAAGATAATAGATTTGTTAAAATCAAGGAGGATGCAGAGTATAAGCTAAAACTGATTGACGAATTCAAGAAGACCATTGAAGACTATGAGTGGAATGAATACATTAGAAAGTATATTCAAGAGAAAGAAAGCAAGACAAAACACACTGATTTTATGGAAAGTCTTGAAGGTGAGAAATTCTACAAATAACAAATTTATGCTGCCTAAAAATTAATTGAAAATGAAGAGAGAATGTTTGAAAAGAAGCAAAGCATTAATTACGAGCACTAAAAGGTACTAAGGGAGTAATAACAGGCTCTGCATGACTTAGAGATTATGGCTAAGTTTGCTATTTGATGCTTGTATTGGGTTGTGATTTAGATATTAATTTTAATTGATAAATAGTTTGAAAGAATACTTCAATATTCATTAGTCCTGGGGTTTTGGGGTTTTGGGG